CCAAGAGAGTGTGAGTGAGAGTCGAAAGTCACGAAAGGGGAAAAAAAGGAAAGCGCGAAGCCCATCAGGATCCAAAAAAAAAAAAGAAAGCTGCCTCTGATGATAGCAAGCAGAAGCCACGAAGAGCAACAGCAACAGGAAAGCGACACGCCAAGGCCCACGCCCATCCCAAAATGAAGGCTAAGGCAAAAGCAAAGGGCCAGAGCCAGGCTGACCAGGAGGACCCATCGCAAAGCTATGACGGCTGGAAGAAGTGCGGTTTGTGTAGAAAGTGGCTTGCGCAGGACGCTTTCAACCAAGATCAATGCAAATGCAAGGCTTGCAACAACGGCACAAGGCAGTTCAACAGGTTGTGCGAGAAGCAAGACTGCTGTGACAAGATCAAGAAGCTGACTGCCAAGGACTGGCTTGCAGTGGTGATTCAATGGTTCGGGCAGCGGGCATCCCCTTTGTGTGTTATCTCAGTGCTTGGGAAATAAGCAAACAAACCCTAATCCACACAGTCAGCGAGCCGCCAGCCAGTGTGTGAAGGAGCCCCGTGTCGTTGATGAGACGATGAGAGAGTTCATCAAGGAGCTGAGTTGAGCAACAAGTCCACTGTCGCTCTTTTGTCAAAAGTTTGGTGTGTTATGTCTTGACTGTAAAGCAAACTAGAGTGTGTAATGTGGCGAGATGAGTCTACATTGTTTGTCTTTTTCAAGACGCAGCCTCCGCAGCATGCATTATGTCACTTCTCAGACTCAGACCAAGCCGGGTGGGGATTGGCAGCAGAAGCTGAATTAGCCTGCTGACGTTTCCATGTTTCAGCGTGCTTAGCAGTTTCTTGGTAGGGTGTATTGCAGTGTGCTACAGTTTGGTTTCTTGTAGTGAGCAGAAAAACAAACAAGTGAGTGCCTAGTGGTGATGACAGTGGTGATGTATTGCTAACCGTATACCGTACGAAACCATTACTGAAGCAGATTTTTGCCTCCTGCATGGCTGAGTACTGAAGCACTGAAGCATATTGGTATACCCAGTATTATCAAGCAGCCTACTATCCAGTTTGATCAGCCTTCTTTTACTGCTTGTCTCCTGGCTTACGCAGGAGAAGAACCGGCTTCTGAGCGTTGGTGAGAAAATCCAGTTTAACGTCATGGACTTCATTGTGAGGCTGAAGAAGTCCGAGGGCACCAGATATGCCCGGATTGCGGAAATGATGTGGGAAATTGAGTACATTGAATGGGCCACAAAAACGGCCAGGGGAGGATATCTCAGCAAGGAAGAGGCCGGCGCCAATTGGGATAGGTGGAAGGCTGATGTGACGCACACCCGCGACCACAAAGGACATGCTGGGGCAACGGGCAAAGGGATTTGTTTGTGTTTTGCCTTTTTGCTGTTGAAGTATCTTTGAACAATCCATCCAGGACCTCGCGGATTCCTGCGGCTGAAGGTGACGGGGTCTGCAGAGTCTGCATTCGAAACTACTGATCTATGCTGTTTGCAGTCGCAGCGTCCATCAAACAAGCCAGGTGAATGTCACTGACCGGGTCGAGGAGTACAACGACTTCTCGAAAGAGAGGGAAGTGGAGAAACGTGAGAAAATTGGCAAAAAAGCGGCCCAGAATGCGCAGGTCATGGGCGACCGGTTGAAGCTTGTGTTTGCCGGGTCTGCTGGCGGGGACTCCATGAACTTGGTGGCGGGACAGTCAGAGGAGAGCTTGAAGAGATCCTATGACCGAATTGCAGCCTTTGGATTGGACGCGGATGAGGCGGCTGACATTGTTCAGCTGGATCCTGAGGAGTGCCTAGACACTGCAGACCGAAAGCGGCGACGAACCAGCCGAGGCAGAACTCATGAGTCATGATTCATGAGTGATGAGTCCATAAGCATTGATTGCCAGCTCATTTCCCAGGAGCCGGCCCATGTTTCAGCATGCAGTGTTTTAGGATTGTAGACAGTTTCAGCATCCGTTTCTTGCGGTAGGCAGTGCGGCAAAGCCAGGGGAAAGCGAGGAGGAGGAATCCTCATCCGGAAAGGCCGCTTAGCTTAATGGTATGATGTTTTATTGTCGTCCTGGTAGCTACGACTGCTCTCCTTGCCAGGCTTCTGAGGAGGGCCAGAGCCAAGAGACTCCGAAGCCACAGCCGCGACCGGAGACATGGATGGACGAGACGAAGATCACGGCTGCGGAACGAGCCTGGAGTGAGACCATCTCGAGCCTTGAGACGGTCATGCACAAAGTCATTGAGGATGCCAAGGCCACCTTACAGGAATTCCGCAACAGCACGGACAAGAGCAGGTACCAGAAGGAGATGGCCATCTTGGACAAGCGAATGTCTTGGGCAGCTGCTGTGGTGGATGGGTCCATCCAGAACAAGATCAATGAGCAAAAGGCGCTCCAAGGCAAGTCCCAAGCAGCTGGGGCTGGAGCTGTGACCACCACAAGTGATATGTCTGCCCTTACGCGAGCAGCTCCGTGTGCAACATGGGAGGACCTCAAATCGCTCGCGGCTTTGCGTTTGGATGGCGGCAAGTACAGAGCCTGTGCCACTTGCCTTTGCCATTGCCCAGGGCCCAGGCAGCTCAGTCTAGAGTCCAGAGTCAGGCCCAGGCCCACGCGGCCCAGGCATTGCTTCACTGCACTTCTGAGGGTTTAATTAATGCTGTGAGCTGTGAGTGCAAGCCTCTCCAGTCCAGTCCAGTCAGCCACTGTCGCAGTCGCAGTCCGAGTGGATGATCATGAACATTTCGCAGCATGAGCCCATGTTTCAGTTTTAACTTTTCAGCGCGCAAGGCTGACCCTGTTGCTTGTTGTTTTTTGCAGCGCTTCAAGATTGAAACTGTTACTGCTTAGTATAGTCTAGTTTAGAAGGGGCTCCCACCCACCCTGTAATAGCGACTACAAGGATACAAAAATTATATCGGGCCCTATTATATTCCTATTATACCACAATTACAGGGTGGGTGGGAGCCCCTTCTAAAGTCGAGTAGTCACAATCTAGTATCCAAGGCCAATCGAGATGACCTGAAGGCAGTGACCGAAAAGCTCAAAGAGCAAAAGAGAGTGCAAATGGTGCTCATCCAAGCTACGAAAGCAGCCCAGTCAGATCTAACCAATGCGCGCAAGAGATTCGAAGCGAATCAGAAGCGGGAAGCAGAGAAGCAGAAGAAAGAAGAGGAAAAGAAAGCAAAGCAAGAAAAGGATTCCAAAGCCAAACGCCCCAAAGTCAAAGCGAAAAGTGTGCACGCGGTCTTGAATCCTGAGCTGATGTCCGTGTTGCCAGAGCTCCCCAGGTACGCGGCTGATGCAGGCTTTGACTGGGCCACTAGTGCTCATGAGCTCTTGCATTTGCCATGGGTCCAGCGTGCCGGCTTAGGCAGCATGAACCAGTTTGCGGATTTGAACGAGTTGTTGCAAGAGTTTGCGCAAGCTTTCAAGCAGTCTGCTTTGCGCGTGACGGAGGGACGTGCGACTAAACAAGTTCCCGAGAGCGCGAAATTCTTTGCACTTGCAAGCGGAAGAGGTTTTGGACGAATCTTTGTTGCTTGGGCTTGAGGACTTGCAGTCTGCTTACAGCAAGACGTTTCCTTCGACACCTTTGGTTATGGGAGAGGCTGCAAAGAAGTTGTTGCGGCCTGCCTTGTTCGCTATTGCGCAGAATCACTGCAGCATTGCGAAATTTGAGCCGGGCTTGCTAGGAAGCTTGAGGTACCATCATGCCGGAAGCTACTTGGCTTCGATTTGGGTGCCAAAGGACGATGAAGGTGAGCCGCCGAAGGACTTCTTCAAGGATGTGACAGACAGTGTGAGCAAGGCAACGCCGGACGATGTCAAGGAAATGGGAAAAGCGAAGCTGTTCTTCATGGGCACCGTCTCTGAGGGGGACCTGCTCTACATACCACCCGGAGCTCTGGTTTCTGTTCAGGCAGGGTTTGCAGATTCTTCCATGCAGTCCCAACCCAAACCCAACAGAACAAATCGTGTAAGCCCACTGCGCACTAATAAGTCATGTGCTGTTTTTGCGCCAGGTCGGCGGCCAGGGTGATACGTTTGGCATCCGCATCCCGCTGTTGCATGTGCAGTCTCAAGAACGCACCCAGAGTGTGGCTTTCTTATTGCGCGAATCCGAGAACCAGCCCAGAGTGCAGATGGGTGAGATCTTGCAGCCGGTTTCGACGGCCCTGAAGACCTTGAAGGTTCCTTGTTGCCTTGCTGTGCCAGTGCAGTCAAATCCATCTTTCATTCCCCATGGCCATTACCCCGAAAAGATTGAATCCCAAACCCAGACGTTAAACATGTGCATTTTGAAAGGCCTTGAAATATCCTGCACACCTAGGTAAAACTAGAATCTAACATTTTCAATCACCACTTCTATGCTCCACGTCCCAGCCCGAGCTCGGAGCCCACTCACTCACAGTCTGGAGGAAGAGCTTGACAAGAAGGACAAAGCGGAGGAACTCGAAGCGAAGGAAGGAAAGGAACAGGAGCAGGAAAAAGAGGCAGAAGAAGCCAGGTTGAGGAAGGAGAAAGAAGACCAGGAAGGCATGCAGCCAAAGAAGGCAGCAGAGGAAAAGGAGGTGGAAGAAGCCAGGTTGAGGAAGGAAAAGGAAAAAGAAGAGGAGGAAGCCATGCAGGCAAAGAAGGCAGCAGAGGAAAAGGAAGCAGAAGAAGCCAGGTTGAGGAAGGAAAAGGAAGAGGAGGAACGCCTGCAGGCAAAGAAGGAAGCACAGGAAAAGGAGGTGGAAGAAGCCAGGTTGAGGAAGGAAAAGGAAGAGGAGGAAGCCATGCAGGCAAAGAAGGCAGCACAGGAAAAGGAGGAGGAAGAAGCCAGGTTGAGGAAGGAAAAAGAAGAGAAGGAAGGCATGCAGGCAAAGAAGGCAGCACAGGAAAAGGAGGAGGAAGAAGCCAGGTTGAGGAAGGAAAAAGAAGAGAAGGAAGGCATGCAGGCAAAGAAGGCAGCAGAGGAAATGGAGGCGGAAGAAGCCAGGTTGAGGAAGGAAAAAGAAGAGAAGGAAGGCATGCAGGCAAAGAAGGCAGCACAGGAAAAGGAGGAGGAAGAAGCCAGGTTGAGGAAGGAAAAAGAAGAGAAGGAAGGCATGCAGGCAAAGAAGGCAACAGAGGAAAAGGAGGCGGAAGAAGCCAGGTTGAGGAAGGAAAAAGAAGAGAAGGAGCGCATGCAGGCAAAGAAGGCAGCAGAGGAAAAGGAAGCGGAAGAAGCCAGGATGAGGAAGGAAAAGGAAGAGGAGGAACGCATGCAGGCAGCGAAGGCAGCACAGGAAAAGGAGGTGGAAGAAGCGAGGAAGAGGAAGGAACAGGAAGAGGAGGAACGCATGCAGGCAGCGAAGGCAGCACAGGAAAAGGAGGTGGAAGAAGCCAGGTTGAGGAAGGAAAAAGAAGAGGAGGAACGCATGCAGGCAGCGAAGGCAGCAGAGGAAAAGTGTGCAGAGGAAGCCAGGAAGAGGAAGCAAAAGGAAGAGGAGGAACGCATGGACGCAGCGAAGGCAGCAGAGGAAAAGGAGGCGGAAGAAGCCAGGTTGAGGAAGGAAAAGGAAGCAAAGGAATCCAAGCAGGGGAAAGACAAGGAGGAGGATGCAAAGACGAAGAAGGAGGCCGCCAAGAAGGAGGATGCAGCATGCGTGCAGGCCGAGGCCAGCCAACCAAACAAAGCAACTCCCAGGTTGAAGCTCGATGCGAATCCGAAAGGGAAGCCGAAGGACAAGGATAAGAAGAAGTAAAAACCGAAGCTTTGGAAACTAAGCCAGCTCCTCCAGCAATGATCGTCTGTTTTCACAAAAATTTTCATCCCTCCGGCATCAGATGCCTGCTTGATCGACGTGGAATAGCCGGTGCAGGTTGTCCGCTTAAATGCGCCAACATGCTGCAGCAGATTGCAATACTTGCATTCTAGAGTTGTCCTTGTTGCGAGTTTTTCTCTTCCAGGCTTCGGGTTTCGAGGTCGTTCTACAGCTGAAGTCCCAACATGGACGTTTGAGTGTTCTGGAGTTCAGAAGCCTGTCAAGTACGGAGGTCCTGCAGGTTGTCCGCCTAATAAAGGCGCCAGCATGCTGCAGCAGATTTCACAGTTTGCAATTCTCCAGTTGTCCTTTGCTGCGAGCTTTCTCGTAGAGGCTTGGGGCTTTGAGGTCGTTCTATATGATGCTATGGGTCCAATGAAAGAGACAATCTATTTCATACAACCATTAGATATAATAAGTGTATATATATATATCTATTATAGAGACCAGCTCCAGGCTCGGAGAGAGTTCCTTGGACATGCTCCAACCACGCTGTCAAGCCGGCAGTGCTAAAGAGGAAGAGAAGTATTCATAGGACATTCTCTACATTCTTTATGTGCAACTGTTGCAGCCTAGAGCGGGCTGGGGGGAGTGATGGCAGGCTGACGGCCCTGAGGGCAGACCAGCATTGCCATCCGCTATTGCCTCAGGCTGCATCTTCACATGGGTCTGGGAGCCTCCGGATTTTAGGATTGTCAGGGTCTTAGGTCTTAGGGGTTAGGGTCTGTTATGGTGTTTAGATTTTGTTCGGGTGTTGTATTTTAAGGTGCAGGATTTTAGGGATTGGGGCTTCAGCGTTTGCTGCCTGATTACATGACTGTGGTCATGCCGCAGCCGCATGGTGCAGCAAAATCTTGCATACTACGTAAACATCATTGAATCATTGTGCACACTGTGCGCTCTGATACGTAACACTGTTGACGATGAGTGAAATGATTCTGCACCCGGCCCAGGTCTCCGTCCCCATCCATGAGATGCTTGTTGCCTGTGGCTGTGCCAAAAAGAAATGCGCATGTCCACTTGCACAAGGCAGTTGCTGACGTTCTGCAAGCCAGTTTGAAGGCCCGTGTCAGGGACCGCCTGTGGCAATGTACTTACTTTGACTGCACCTCGCACAGAAGCCTCGCAGCCTTTTGCAGACCGCAGACAACAGACATGTTTTTTTGGCTTAGGTCCCCGGACCTTCCAAAATCCCATAATTCAGGAATATGTACCTTAAATTATTATGGGGAGCCTATCGTAAGAATTAATTAAAGGATTTTGGAAGGTCTGATCTTTAGGTAGCTCCGAGTCGTTCTTGGCCGTGCCGTGCTCGTAGGCCGTAGGCTGTGCGGTAGCAAAGGTGTGTGTTGGCCTATTTGCAGGGCTCACGTGACTCACGTGGGACTCGCAACGAAGCCTGTACAAGGTTCTCGGGTCAGGGCCGGTTCCGCTTTGTTTTTGGCAGGCCTGGCAGGTGGGTGGGTTGGGGCTGTGGCCTGCGAAAGCCCTTTCCGAGTGCTACAGCGCATCGACATGCCAGCCGAAAAGCAGAAAGTTGAGGGGCTTCCTCCGGTTCTCCGGGGCTGCGACATGCATGTCCATTGTCATGCGGTTCTCCTTTGAATGTTGGGACCTGCAAGTTGCAAGCTGTTTCCGTGGCGTTGGTGTGGATGGCTTGCTTGTGCATGCCAGCTGCCGTTGCATTTGAACAGGCGCATTTTGGTTGCACACTTGCTGGTGACAGTGATGGCTCGGTTGTTTGGTCGAGTGCTATGCGATGCTCAGGGCTTTGCTGATGCCCCCTTCCGTTACTGGCATTCCTTGCGCTTGTTTCTGTGGGAACCGTGCAGAATTCTAGCCCTGCTGGGGAGCTGGGGCGCTGTTGTTTAAGACATGCCACGCTCCTCACAGGAATACAAACACGTCGAATGTTTTCACTTCTTTGATCGGAAACCGCCTCATCCAACTTCTCCAACCCCATCAACCCCATTTCACCCTGAACTTAGTGCCCGAAGGGTTCCGGCAATTAAGGCTAAGTATGAGAATAAGATCACTGTTGACCAGTAGGCGCGGGAGGACGGGTACAAGTTCATCAGAGAGTTTGGTCTTCGTTCTTTCAACAGGAACCAGTTCATGGAGTGGACTGATGAACAAATCTACACGGCGGGTGGGAAGCTTGAGAGGCTGGCCTGAAGGGAAAATTCAAGAGGCTCTTGACAACTACATGAGGGGACGCCAGAACGCCAAGACATTGGAGTACTGGCCGTTTACCTTCAAGTCCTTCGTTCCGTGGTTCTTTGACAAGGTGCTTAAGAAGATGCTTCTCACAATGAGATAGCACGCAATTACTTGGATTGGTCGCACTCGAACCGGCAAGTCCTTGGGTTCAAAAACGGTGCTCTTCATGCAGTCAAAATACGTGATGGAGGCGGCTGAGCGTACTGACTTCACTCCCTCCATTGTGACGGCGAAACATTTAGATTTCTTCAAATCGGAGTCGCTCACCAAGTACAAATCTGGAGTTCTCCTTACCGATAGGAAGAGGATGCCACGGTATGGGCACGCTACTCGTCGGCGCAATTTGATCAAGGTTCCGGGCGATATACTTGCAACAATCCATATGACCGTAGCACCGACGACGAAGTGTTCGCCACGATGCACACAGGCAACTTTTGGAAGATCCCCTACGACAAGTTTCTATAGCTCATCCAACCATCTTTCTCTGCAGTCGAAGACCCAGAGGACATGGATGCAATCATGGCACGCACTCACCTCATTGTCACCACAGATCACGGCCTTTACTTTCGCGTAGCGATCACTAGCAAAGACCCCGTTGAGTGCATCCCTTGGGAGGAGAATGCCCCCAAGGACTTGTTGTCTTGCATACAAACGTCGATTTTCAAATAGTACAAGATGAACCCCGACAAGCATCAACTCCCGCCTTCTTAGAAAACCATGAAGATTGCCGTTGGTCCCAAGAAGCTCTTCGACGGCTTCTTCACGGGGAATCAGTTCCGAGCTCCTACACTATTCGCATTCCACGGGACCTCTTTGGCGATGCTGCGCCCGAATCCAAGCATGGATTTGTGTGCGTCAAAACAGTACACATATATATATATATATATGTACGTAGGACCTTTAGGTCCTATTTGGCGTAGGGCTTGCTCTGTGTCTTAATATATACTGTGTATATACGCAATTAAAAATTTAAAGAATTTAAAAAAATTAAAGGGGGTAAATCCTTTAAATTTTGAAATCGTCCGGAACTAAAATTTAAAGAATTTAAAAAATTTAAAGGGGGTAAATCCTTTAAATTCTGAAATCGTCCGGAATTAAAAATTTAAAGAATTTAAAAAATTTAAAGGGGGTAAATCCTTTAAATTCTTTAAATTTTGAAATCGTCCGGAATTAGAAATTTAAAGAATTTAAAGAATTTTAAAAATTTAAATGTCCAGCTCCAGCTCCAGCCCCAGCCCCCCAGCCTTCGACCCCAGCCCACGGGATTAAATTTTTTAAATCCTTTAAATTCTTTAAATTCTGAAATCGTCCGGAATTAAAAATTTAAAGAATTTAAAAAATTTAAAGGGGGTAAATCCTTTAAATTCTGAAATCGTCCGGAATTAAAAATTTAAAGAATTTAAAAAATTTAAAGGGGGTAAATCCTTTAAATTCTGAAATCGTCCGGAATTAAAAATTTAAAGAATTTAAAAAATTTAAAGGGGGTAAATCCTTTAAATTCTGAAATCGTCCGGAATTAAAAATTTAAAGAATTTAAAAAAATTAAAGGGGGTAAATCCTTTAAATTCTTTAAATTTTGAAATCGTCCGGAATTAGAAATTTAAAGAATTTAAAGAATTTAAAGAATTTTAAAAATTTAAATGTCCAGCTCCAGCTCCAGCCCCAGCCCCCCAGCCTCCGACCCCAGCCCACGGGATTAAATTTTTTAATTTCTTTAAATTTTGAAATCGTCCGGAATTAAAAATTTAAAGAATTTAAAAAATTTAAAGGGGGTAAATCCTTTAAATTCTGAAATCGTCCGGAATTAAAAATTTAAAGAATTTAAAAATTTAAAGGGTGTAAATCCTTTAAATTCTGAAATCGTCCGGAATTAAAAATTTAAAGAATTTAAAAAATTTAAAGGGGGTAAATCCTTTAAACTCTTTAAATTTTGAAATCGTCCGGAATTAAAAATGTAAAGAATTTAAAGAATTTAAAGAATTTTAAAAATTTAAATGTCCAGCTCCAGCTCCAGCCCCAGCCCCCCAGCCTCCGACCCCAGCCCACGGAATTAAATTTTTTAAATTCTTTAAATTCTTTAAATTTTGAAATCGTCCGGAATTAAAAATTTAAAGAATTTAAAAAATTTAAAGGTTGTAAATCCTTTAAATTCTGAAATCGTCCGGAATTAAAAATTTAAAGAATTTAAAAAATCTAAAGGGTGTAAATCCTTTAAATTCTTTAAATTTTGAAATCGTCCGGAATTAAAAATTTAAAGAATTTAAAAAACTTAAAGGGTGTAAATCCTTTAAATTCTTTAAATTTTGAAATCGTCCGGAATTAAAAATTTAAAGAATTTAAAGAATTTAAAGAATTTTAAAAATTTAAATCTTCAGCTCCAGCCCCAGCCCCAGCCCCCCAGCCTCCGACCCCCGCCAGGGCCTGCCCCCAACCCCCAGCCCCAGCCTCAAGCGCCGAGACCCCACCCCCACCCAGTCCTAGCCCCAGCCCCCAGCCCCAGCCCCCGCCCCCACCTCGCAGGGCCTGCCCAGCCGCCGCCCCAGCTCCTGCCCCCTGCCCCTAGATTCCAGCCTCCGGCCCCTCGTCCGGAATTAAAAATAAAGAATTCAATTTAAATGTTCAGCTCCAGCCCCAGCCCCAGCCCCCCAGCCTCCGACCCCCGCCAGGCCCTGCCCCCAACCCCCTGCCCCAGCCTCAAGCCCCGAGACCCCACCCCCACC